AGCGACCCCTCCTTGGGTTTCCGAGGCAGTATCACTACGGAAGTAGGATTGCCCAACCTTCCTTCCGAGGAGTGGCTGGTGGGTTTGAACCGCCAGCCCTCTGGTTAGCAGTCAAGTGCTTTAGCCACTATGGTACCAGAGCTCCTAAGTGAAGATTAGGAAACAGGATTTTGTCACTCCTTGCAAAAAGTAGTAGAAAGTACACACACATGATTTTGAATCAATATTGGAAAAGGTAGTAAATCAGTCTGGCATTGAGTTAATTAGTCTCTCCTTTAAGAAAAGTGAAGCCAGGATAGAAAGGTCTAAAGCAGGTGTGCCAATGGCAAGGCCATGCATGATTTCCTGCCATTTAATCACATATACAACCTGTTATTAAAATACGTTCTTTTAGTTTTCCACTTAGCTTTGCATACTCTCCTGTTCCACAATAATCAGAGATTTTGTGTGAGATTTTGACCAAATTTGGTTTCTTAATCTTATTTTTCTGTCCTCAAATGCCAGCAGAAAATAAGCATTTCATCTGTATGTTAAATATAGTAATTTTTCTATGTAGAAATATTAATATGCAACTAATAAAAATATTGAAATAATACATAAAAATCAATTAATGAATTTAGTAATAACATACCAAAAATATCCCAATCCCTTTCTAAAATCCCTAACCTGCCAATGCAACTAGTGGTCTTTACATTCCATAAAAATTGTTGTTGTGAAGTGTTGCCTTAAACATCAGAGTTTTCTAAATCTATTTTTTTCCTTCATAAATTGATTTAATTCCTATTGTCATGTTCCAATAACTATTAACATTGCATGTATTAAATAAGTATAGGTTTGGTAGTAATTTTTGCCTCACAGGTTTTCTTATAATTATTGGGTGGCAAAGAAGAATAGTAATGTGTATTGTCTATAGTAATGTGATTATGAAAGTAGCTATTATTCTGTCTATAACTAGGAAGAAAAAGAGTATTATGTACCATTTTTCACATAGAGTAAATGTCCATAATCTGCTCATATTAGAAAAGTGGCATACATAGAACTTCACCAGACACGTAGAACAGACTTTAAGAGACAGATGGTTAAGCTTCATTGCCATTTTGATTAGGGATGCAGTTTGTTGGTTTTCTGTTTTCATTTATTAAATTAACTTGATTGTAAATGCATCCAGTTTATCAAGTCTGTCTTTCCAATACTCATTCTCATGAACATTTCCCAACATTAATGTGTTAATTTAACAGTCTGGTGTCAAACATTAATTTGGACTTGAGAGATTTACATGTGGAAATCTGGCCTTCCCTTTCACTGTTGTCTGTTTTTTTTTACCTCCCACCCATGGTCTGACTGTCAAACCCAAGAGAGATGTTGCCTTTTGGAACAGTTATGTTTCATATTTACATAAGGCTGACATTACAAATAAAATGATGAAGAAATGTAGAGCATGTGATTATTTGTCCTACTTAACTACCTTAACTATTTAAAAGAGAAGTATTGAGCCAGTTAAAACAAATGAATCTGCATTCATTTCTTAAAACCAAGGATTTAGTATCACAATGACCACCAGTAGTCATTTGGTCATTTGGGTTATTGAGAAGCTCTCATACATTCTGTTTGAATTTCTCTTGTTTTAATTTATACTTATTCCCATTATTTGGACTTTGGCAAGGACTACAGAATAATTGGTGAGCATCTTTCTCATATACTACAGCAGTGCTTCTCAAACTTTATAGTTCATATTCTATCCTAGGGAAACTTGTTAAAATACGGAGTTTTATTTGATAGATCTGGAGAGAGGTCAGAAATTCTGGGTTTCTAACAAGTTCCAAGTCATGTAATGATGTTGGTCTGAGGATCATTCTTTGAGTAGCTGAGTACCAGAGGACTCTTATTACCACCTTTCAGACATCTCTAAATAAAACAATCCTAATTTAGCTTTAACTTTGACTCAGATCTTAGCTCTCACATCCTTCAATTCATTGTGTTCTGATCTAGAATAAATTTGGGTTTCCTTAACAAGTAAATGACCTCCCTCCCCACTCAAAAAACAATACCATAATAAAACCCTGTTAAGGCATAACCATGATACAAGGTTATTTCTAAAAGAAAGGCTTAATCCTAAGCAAGCAGGGTTTTATAGATTTTTTTTTTTTTTTGAATACCAAGTAAAAATGTTGAATATTTTGACTAAACCTTCATTTTCTGTATTTTACCTTGAACATCTCTCTTCCTGTAACTTAGTGACCAGGCAGGAAACACAGACCCCAAATTTTCTTTCTATTTTTTCTGTCTCTGGCCAGAAATACAGATATTTAACAACTCAACAAAAAGGAAGAACTGGCTGAATTTTTTGCCAGGACTTAGACCTTTCCACATATGTGACTTTTTACATCTTCAAAAACTAATAAATTGTTTTGCTTCTAAATTGCCCCCTCTCATGATGTTGTTTGTTGTTATATGCCATCGAGTCAGACCTGACTCATAATGACCCCTTCTTGGGCTTCCAAGGCAGCATCACTATGGAAGTAGATTGTCCAACCTTCCTTCCGAATTGTGGCTGGTGGGTTTGAACCACCAGCCTTCTGGTTAGCAGTCGAATGCCTTAGGCACTGTGCTACCAGAGCTCCTCCCTCTCATGATACTTGAGAGTAATTCTATAATCTCCCATTCTTTCCTTTTTAGTTAAGGAACTTCTTACTTCTGTATCTTCATAACAGAAATTTCAAGCAGTGTAGCCATTGATGTTATATATTATTTATTGTACCATCTTCAGAAAGAACAGTAAATTGTTTCTTCATAATGGAGTCCTCACTAACTCATATACAGAGGAAATACTTCTATTAATTCAGTTTGAATATTTTTTTCCTTACAAATAGAATTTTGAAATTTTATTAATTATATGATTTATTTTTCTTAGTCTTTTATATACCTATGCATAAGTTTGTATTTAATTTGTCTTCTTTTATTTTAAGGGTGTGATTACTTTAGAGTCCCTTGGTAAAAGGGGTTATCGCGTACCTCCTTCAGGAACAATACAAGTGGTATGTGTTTTATAGCCTACAATTGCAATAATCATTCTCTCACATACATATAGAACTTAGCCCTTTCTCCTGCTACTGCTGCTGCAACAACTTTGGTAAGTAACAGTGGGGCTGCAGCTTTGTTTGGAGTTTCCCTGCTCTGCCACAGGAATGACCATTTGGGGACCTCCATAAAAGGAAAGCATTAATAAGCTAATCAAGGTGAATGCTGTAGAAAAATAGTGTATGATAGTTTGCTTAACTTAATAGAGCTGTTTTTGATATAATTAGAACCTAATATCACTAATGCCTTCTATTTAATAAGCCAGATTGAGATTGACCTATTTAAAAGGAGACCCCCAAATATTAGTATTGCTTTGGCAGGAAAATTTGGGAAACAAAATGATATCCCTAGTGTAATAATTTCTAAAATTGATCCTAATCCTGTGATTATACGTAGTAGATAATATAATCTGACAGATACAAGGGTAGAGAAGGCATCATTCTTTTTGGTCTAAGTAATGATCTAGTTTTGTCCTAGAAGAACCCATCTAGACCAGAGCAGTCTTTCATCATCCCTGGTCTAGAGTTCTGAGCAGATTAATTTGATATCAAGGCCAGTTTGAGATTCAGTTTGGCTCTCTTAGTCAGACCCAGAAGAATCCTGCAAGCCCTCAAGTCTGTTACAGAGTTGGCTCCTGCAGACTGACTACAGTCTATCTGAAGCTGGTTTCTCACACTAAGTATCTGGTCTAATCCAGTAAGACTTTTTATGCCTTTTGGCCTCGATGTGTTCAGTGATTTGTCAGACCACTTTTACTCATCACCATTGTTCTAATACTCCAAAGAGTCTGTCTATACATTTATTTCATATCACACAGGAATGAAACATAGTACTATGCAATATATATATATGTATAAGTTTTATTGAAGGAGCATCGTTGCATATTAAAGTATGATTTTTATGTTAAATCAAGTTTTTAAACTATAAGAGTGATAATCTTTTATTTTCTTGCCCTTGACTAATGTAGCTCATGAGAAAGTGTGGGTCACTGGAAAGCTAGCTGTCAGTTGTCATAATAATGAGGCATAAACCCAGAGGCAGCACATTCATTTCTTGTTTGAGGACTGCCAACTTTAGTACTTAATTTTAAATCTGAAATTTGGGTATGTCTTTCATTCCTTATATAGTTTAATTATGTGTAAATACTATCTGAACTCCTAGTTTGCCTAGTTGTTGTGGTTGTTGAATGTATTAGCCTTAATCTTAAGACTCACTAGACTTCAAAAATTGGATCATAATATTGATGTATTTCTCATTTTGATTCAGTGAGTGATGTCCAGTGCCACGGATGAGCTTCTGAAAGCATGGGCACCAAGTTACCTATTGATGTGTTGGTAATTTGGTTAAAGTCAGATTAGCAGTTTGGGTTTTACTTAAAAATTAGTGCTTTTAATATTCCTTTGATTATTCATATCCAAGTACCAACTGAGTACAATTCAGTCAGGGTAAATATTCTTGTTCATTATAATATTGATGATGATTAAAAAAAAAAAACACCTAGTGTCACTGTAAGTTTTGGCATGAATATGAAGTATTATTTAGCCACTTTGGATCTAATAGTGATGAACTTCATTTCCTAAATTTGGAAAACTTTTCAAATAGGTGCTCCAAAAATGACTTTTTCCTGTTTTTAATTTGATAATAACTTTATATACCAAAGACTCTAGTTTTACTGATCTTTTAATTTTTATTTAAAAAAAATAGTTCTGTTAACTCATCATTAATATGTGAGGAAAATTAAAATCATATATTGAAAACTTTGTAGTTAATACTCTTAAATGAAGCAAATGGTTGCAATAATTGAACTGGAATGTTTAACTCACTTAGGATGTATCTTGCTTAAGTTAGTGAAACTATTTTTAATAGTTCCACTGAATTCTGAACAAGAAGCAAAGGATGCTGTCTATTATTAACATGAAATTTTGTGGCTAAAGATTTTGGATTGTTACAGGATTTCATAATATTGTGAAAGAAATAATTACATTTAAAAAAAATTCAGAATATATTATGTAAACTTCAGAAATTTTATTAACTTTAATCTCTGAAACTGAATTACATCCCCTGGGGTAACCTTATTATTTAAAACTCTTGTTTTATTGTTGGCACTATTATTTTGAGTCGTATCAACAAATAACTGTTTTTAAAGGATAATTTCTGTATTGTTTCTTCAGACCTTATTTAATCCTAATAAGACTGTGGTGAAGATGTTTGTTGTGATATATGACTTGCGAGATATGCCAGCTAATCATCAGACATTCCTCCGACAAAGAACTTTCTCTGTACCTGTTAAACAAGAAATGAAGAGAAGTGTTAATAAGGAGAACATCCAACATGCAGAAGAACGGTTATTACGCTACCTCATACATCTGAGGTAATGTTTTCAAAATAATGTGAAAATATGTTATTTTAAAAGAATAATATTAAAATTTTTAGTTTATTCTAAAAAACTGTGCTGTAGCTAGGTCAGTGCCCACTAGACTTTGCTTATCTTAGGAGTTGATGATGTGCCAAGATGCAGAAAGCACATGGCATACTTTTCCTGCGGTCATTATGACTTCAAGAACTTAAGGAAGTTTTCATTTTAGCTATGAAATGTAAAATATTTTTGTATCAAAACCAATGCTTATGTATATATGCTGATGTATCTGGGGGCAATGGAAAACATATTTCCTAAACCAGTGCTGTCCAATAGAAATACAATATGAGCTATACATGTAGTTCTATATTTTGTAATGTTGTTATGTTATTGTTAGGTGCTATCAAGTCCATTTTAGACTCATAAAGACCCCACGTGACAGAGTAGAACTGCTTCATAAAGTTTTTACACTTGAAGCTTTACAGAAGCAGATTGCCAGGTCTTTTCACCCAGGGAGCTGCTGTGTAGGTGCGAACTCACAATTTTTTGGTTAGCAGCTGAGCACTTAACCATTGTGCCACTAGGGCTCCTGTTGTTGTTGTTGTTGTTGTTATGTGCCGTCGAGTCAGATCTGACTCATAGCGACCCCTCCTTGGGTTTCTGAGGCAGTATCTCTACGGAAGTAGATTGCCCCATCTTCCTTCCCATCCCCACCAGCCTTTTGGTTAGCAGTCAAGTGCCTCAGGCACAACACTACCAGAGCTCCCACTAGGGCTCCTAGCTACTTTAAAAAAGGTGATTTTTTTTTTTTTAAGCATTTTTAATTAATGTTACATTGTTTATTTTTTAAATTGTGCTTTGGGTGCAAATTTACATAGCAAATTTGATTTACAATCAACAGTTCATGCACATTTGTTTCATGGCCCTGATCTCCAGCCATAAAAAAACTCTCCTTCCCTCCCCTCCCTGTGACTCTCTCCTCCCTATGCCCTTCTTAACTATGTATTCCTGTCTGTCCAGCTTTCCCTCCATGTGAATGTTGCCCTTATAGTGTTTCATGGCTGATTGATCTAAGGGGGTACATCTCCCTAGTAGGTGGGTGCATTGCGCTGGGGGAGGGGTTCTGCATGTAGGATTTTCTGTTGTTGGACTGAGAGCCAATCCATGGAAGCAGGTCTATTTCTAAGCCTGAATGGTAACCCGGGGCCGTAGTCTCAGGGGTTTCACCAGTCTCTATCCAACCAATAATTCTGGTCATTTTTGTGTTTTTGAATTTTGTTCCACTCTACTAGATTTCCAATGTTGATCCCTTTTCATAACCCAATGTATCTGAATGTTATATCCTTATATACTTTCAACATATAAGTAATATAAAAATTGAAATATTTTACATTCTTTTTATGTTAAATCCCCAAAATCAAGCATGTATTTTATATTTACAGCACATCTCATTTTGAACTAGCCACATTTCAAGTGTTCATCAATCACATGTGGCTAGTGGCTACTCTATCAGACAGGAAAATTCTTAACGTCTGTTCATTTCATCACGGAGCTCTAGTGGCACAGTGCATAAGGTGTTTGACTGCTAACCAGAAGGTTGGTGGTTCAAACCCACACCAGCTGCTCTGTGGAAGGAAGATGGGGCAATCTATTTCCGTAAAGATTTACCACCTTGGAAACCCTATGAGGGTGGCTTGTGAATCAGAATCAACTTGGTGGCAGTGAATTTGTTTGTTTGTTTAAATTCATTTTCATTTACTTGTTCAACAAATATTTATGTGCCAGGCATATTTCTAGGAGCTCTGGTGGCATAGTGCCTAAGGCATTTTGACTGCTAACCGGACGGCTGATGGTTCAAACCCACCAGCCACTCCTCAGAAGGAAGATTGGGCAATCTACTTCTGTAGAGATACTGCCTTGGAAACCCAAGGGGGGTCACCATGAGTCGAATCGACTCGATAGCATTGAGTTTGGTTTGGTTTTTTGGCCATTTTTCTAGGTACTAGGGAAACCGTAGGGACAAAATCTCTGTTCTCATGGAATTACATTCTAGTGGTTCTGTCCTAAGTGCCTTTTCCTCTAGCTTTTACTAGCTAGTTTACTTCTCTAGGTTGTTTGTTTTTACCATTCTCACACTCTTTTTCCAAGTTGTTCCTTCCCATTAATTTAAACTCACTGCCCTCTAAGTTTCCTGTCCAAACTTTCAAGTTGCTGTTGTCAATTTGACCACATACAAATTGATCTCAAAAAGAGCAGAATGCTCAAGGAAGACATTTTTGGTAGTTAAGCTAAATTATCATTTGGTTTTAAGAACTCAGAGGATATTTTTGGCTTAAAGTTTAAAGATTAACTCAGGACAGTAGTTTCAGAGATTCATTCAGCATTCATGCCTCCAGAAAGTCTGGATTCCATGAGAATTTGAAATTCTGTTCTCCCTTTCCCCCATTTGATTAGAACTCTTCTACACAATCTTTGATCAAAGTGTTCAATAAGGGTGGGTAGCTGGGCCTAGAACACTTTTAAAAAGAATGTGGTTATTGTTTGTGCCACTGAGTTGATTCTGATGCATAGCAGAAAAAACTGCCCACAGGGTTTCCTAGGCTGTAATCTTTATGAGAGCAGATCACCAGGTCTTTCCTCCTGTGGAGTTGCTGATGGTTTTGAGCTGCTACTTTTCATCAAACAGCCAAGCGCTGAACCATGTGCCACCAGTGCACCTTTTAAAAAGAATAGTAGTATGTAAGAATACCTCCCAGTTCAACCTAAGAGAAGATTTAACTCTATGAATAAATTTCTATTGGACGCCATTTTTGAAGTTTAACAACCTTAAAACCAAAAAACAAACCTATTACCGTCAAGTAAATTTTCAATGCATAGTGCCCTTAATAAATCTACAAACAGACCGTGAAGCTGGTGAGTAGTAGCAGCATCAGAACCTATCTAACTGCAGAGGGGAAATGACCAGCATCAGCCCAAAGATGATTCCCCATGAGGTAGAGATCAGACGTACCTCCACACTCCAACCCTTTCACCAGTTCTTGTGCCAGCTTTCCCTCCCATGGCACACTCTACTTCTCTCTTCTGGGTTTGATCATCCATTGGGATGGTCACACAGAACTCATAGACCATATTAAAGTTAAGTCATTGATTAAGGAAGTAACAGGGTACAGGTTGGGATTAGGATCAACAGGATCCAACTCAGGATCAGGATCAACAGGCTACAACTCTGGATCAGGAAGTATGTAGGCAAAATCTCCTTTCTTCAGTGCAGGTCAGCTCTCTCAGCTCCCCTTGGCCATGCAGGTCTCCTCTAGGTCCCTTGAGGATGGGCTTCCTGTAGGCCCTGTGAAGACAGCCCTCTTCTTGACTCTCTGAAGACAAGTACCTCTTAGTCCTGACATCTGTCACCATTGACTCTGCTTCAGGACTCCTTCCGGGCCTGTCACTGCCATCTCTGCTGCTGGGCTCATTCCAGTCCTGTTGCTGTCTTCAGTGTTACATACAGCCCTTGACTCATGTTACTGCTCTTTAAGAGATTCCTTGCCTCCTCTCTGTGGCTTCTGTCTTCTTCCTTTGCTTCCTGTCTTCCTGCTTCTATCTCTTCCTGTTTCCTTCTGCTTTTCCCTGTTGCTTCTCTTCCTATTTCTTTCTGTCTGAAAAACCTCTGTGGGGATGGCTGCATATATACACGATTCCATGTCAATTCCAAGGCATGGCCCTTCCCAGCTGACCAGTCTCTCAATAGGCCACAGATACTTCATTTGCATAATAGGCTATAGACATCTCATTTGCATAATCTATTGACCCTCCCTGCACAGCACATACAAATTACAGGGCAGGTGGCGGCCCTGGGCCAGACAAAAATGATCAAACCACAAGTTGTTTGCAGTTTACCCAGGAAATGTCAATCAACCTGGACAAAAGTAACAAACACTGTATGGTAGAAAACTAGGGCAGAAGTAACTCTTGATGGCTTAGGGGAAAAACCTGTCAAGCTGTTTTTTCAAACCAGCAAGGCAAAAGGCCATGTAACCAAAAACCCATTGCTGTGGCGTCAATTCTGAGTCACAGTGACCCTATACAACAGAATCTGCTCCATAGGATGTCCAGGCTTGTAAATCTTTACAGAAGCAGACTGACACATCTTTGTCCTGTGAAGCAGCTGGTGGATTTGAACCATAACCATTCAGTTAATAGCCAAGTGCTTAACCACTGCTCTACATAAAGAGATTTGTTTCACCACAGGGAGTGTTTCTGCTATGCCAACGGAAAGACAAAGATAAATTAGCACTATGATTGTGTTTTACTACTTGCCAGGGAAGTTTATGTGATTAAAGACTCCAGTCCCCCATGTTGTGCTGCAGATATTATCAGAGGCTAGAAACAGTTGCATATACTGTTGTTTTGTTTTTTAATTTTTTTGTGATTTGGGTGAAAATTTACAGAGCAAATTGATTTTTCATACAGCAGGTCATACATTTTGTCTCATGACATTGGCTGCAGTTCTCCACAGTGTAACAGCTCTCTTCCCATTTCCTCCCCATAATTACATCTTCCTTATGTTCTTTCTTCCCATGCACTACCACCCCTTTGCAAATACTGCCCTTCTGTTCTCTCATGATTGATTGCTCCAAGGAGTGTATCTACCTGATGTAATTGTTCACACCATATGCATGTCTATTGTTTGGCTGGAAGTGAGTTCAGTTCCAGACCTGAAGGGATGGCTTGGGCCTGTAGTCTTAGGTGTCTCACTAAGCTCTATCAGAGCAGCAAACCTAGTCTTTCTTTTTTCTTTATGATTTAAAATTTTGTTCCACATGATTCTCTCATTCTTTCCAGGACCTCTTGTACTGATCCCACTCTGAGTGGTTGAGAGTGGTACCATCTAGTTCTTCTGGTCTCATGGGCCTATAAGTTGAGGATCACATGGTCTACCAGTCTTTTGGACTAATTGTTTCCATTTGTCTTTGGTTTTCTATGTTCTTATTTGCTCTAGACAAGGAGAGACAGCCAAAGGGGCAAGGAGGCTTCGTCTTCTTACCTCCTCTAACCCCACAAGAGGAAGACAGAATCACTATCAGTAGCCCAAGGCCTATTCCTGTGTGACCAAACATGCTGCCTCCCTCCAGCCCTTTCACCAACCCTGATACCTACCTACCGTTCCTCCCGCAGCACCCACCACCTCTCTATTGGGTTTGATTATTTGCTGCAATGGCCACACAGAATTCACAGATTATGGGGTTTATTAGGGAAGCAACAGGCTACAATTCAAATTCAGGAACATGCTCAGTCTCTCTCAGCCTGCCATCTCTCAGCTGATAGTCTTTCAGTCTCTCTCCCAGCAGTGCATGTCTCTTGGTATCTCTCTTTCTCTCAGCAGTGCATGTCTCTCAGCAGCACATGTCTCTTGCATCTCTCAGCCGGCAGTGAGAGATTCTCTCTCAGCAGCACTTCTCTTAGCCAGCAGTCAGAGAGACTCCTTCTGCCTCTAAGAGGGCTCCTTTTGAGCCTGGCAGAATGGCCATACTAACCAATCCCAACCTCAGAATTCTGTACACCTGAGAGAGAGTGAACTTCCCAGAAAATTACTTCCTGCTACGTCCAACAGAAATACCCCAGGTGGGTAACTTTAACAATCAGGAGCTCCTCAGTTTCTCATAGCAAATTCCACCATGGAGTTTATAAAGACTTATGGCTAGAAAAGCCACACTACATAATTTACTATACCACAGAGACCCATTGTTGCATCTAGATGGCTGTTTGCAAGCTTTTAAGATCCCAGTCACTACTCACCAAAGTAGGATATAGAACAATGTTTTTGTGTGGTATGATATGCCAGTTGAACTTGATGTCCCCTGAAATCATGGTCCCAAACCCAGATATCCAACTTCTTGCTCCCTCCAGGTAGCTGGCTGTGGCCAAAAAGCTACACAGTCTTGCCCCTTGTCAGCTCTGCTGTATACCTGGACATTATTAAAACATATACAAATATACATGTAGAAACATTGTCTGCTAACCCTATACATGCCAGTGGGCACACTACCTCCTGCAACAGTTTCATATGCTAGTTTCATAACCATTTTCATTGCACTACCAACTTTTCTCTTGACTTTTGATAATGGCTTGGCTTTATTTAGGTAGCCTCTATTGTTGATAGCGATTTTCCCTCATCTTGTGATTCCCTCAAACTTGACCATTTTGTATGGCAACTTTTCAAATATAGAGTGCCTTTTAATCCACCTAAGTCATGGGCATCCAAATTGTGTGGAATGTGTCAGTCTGTGTGGCTAGATGATGCTAAGGGCTGCAAAGACCTATATAGTGTAGTTGGCTGATGTGAACAGACACTTGACGGTATAAAAGAGGAAAAGTGCATGTGCTTTCCAGGAATTAAAAGTAAGACTGTGTTTGAAACCCAGACTTACAGGAAGGAACATCTCAGGCATTAGAACTAAAAGGGAAAGAGAGTATAAAGTACTTGGGAAATAATAAGGGGGAGGCAATTAAATGGCTGCATATGATTTAGCAGTGTAAGACCTTATATCTAATATTGAAGAGTTAGTGTTAACCTAATATTATAGCAAGACTAATCCTTCTTATTTTCAAATTTGATTACTTAGGTGTTTTTTGTTTGTTTTAAAAATTTATTCCCCAAAATGATGATCTTTTTCTATTTGTTTAGGTTCCAGAGTTCTAAATCTGGAAAGATCTACCTCCACAGAGATGTACGGCTCCTGTTCTCTAGAAAGTCAATGGAAGTTGATAGCGGTGCTGCATATGAACTCAAATCTTATACTGAATCGCCAACAAACCCTCAGTTTTCACCAAGATGTTAATAAGAAGTGACAGTTGAAGTATTTGCTCAGTACCTAAGTTTGAAAGTAAAAATTAGCATAGAACGGAGTGTACCAAATTAACATCCAGGAGAGTGGATCCTCTCCTGTTGTCCTGGACCAGTTTTTATGAAGGGATTTCTGGAATGAGATCCGAATATTCCAAGTAGACTGGAACTACTCACGTCCTAGTCCTTTTTGTACTGTTGAAACCACTTCATTGGACATGTTGCAATAGCAGAACCCCCAATTAGATTAGTGTTTACACATTTTATTTCTCAGTTATTTAATATTTAATGTTCCCCTTAATACTCAAGTGATGTTTGTCTCTAGTGTTCTAATGTAGCACAAATCCTATGTAAAATCATACTATGTATTTTTGACATTAACGTTGAAATCTAAAATATATGCACAAGTCTTTAATTTTGTGTGATGTGTTTTAAGTGCTATTCATTTAAATTATTGAAAATGAGAATGAAATGTTGAGCTTCTTTAAGATTAATGCACTATGCAAGCATGTGTATCTTCATTTTTATGAAGTTTAGTTTTTACAAGACCCCATCCAGGTTGCTGTCTCACATGATAGTCCTTCAACATGCTGTATTGGCAGTGCAATGTGGACTAAGCTGCTTCACATTCCCCTTGCAAGTTCAGATCATCATACCAATTCATATTCCTTCTAGGTTCCTTAATCTCCAAAGCAGTTCTATTTTTCCTTAATCACTACTATGGAGACTTTACATTAAATTGCTGTCCCATGCTACATTAGTTTCTCAAATTGTTAAAAGAATATGTACTATGAAAACAAATTAGTATCTATATTGTAAATATATACAAAAAACTAAGAAATGTGTATTTGGCTTTTATTTTTAGATACATATAAATGATTGGGTGAATCTCCAGTAGGCATGAAGCGGTTTCCATTGTAGCTCTACAGCTACCAAAGAGGGAAAAGAAAGATGTCTTGTCCCAGTTTATCACTTTCTTGTTCAAAGTCACGATGGAAAGCATCAGGCACTTGGGAAAAACCACCAATCAAGAAGACTTGATTAAGTCCATCAAAGGCCTTCCCTTCAACTTTTATGAAAAGAACAGAGTGGCTTTTGATGTTTGTGCTGGGACATGGGCAGCAGCACATCAGATGACAATGCAGAGAAAATATATTGGGAATGTTGGGACAAAGCTGAAAGTGCAGATTGAAAATCCACAGCATTCAAGTAGGCTACACCCAGGAGACCTGGGAGAGTAGATCCCACAAGCAGCCTGGAATTGGGAACTGGGGAAGCCTTTACTTTGAGACCCACCTAATGGACAGACTACTTAAGAGAATTTGGTTGGGTGATGAGTGTGGGGTAGCAAGGTGGGGAATGGCAAATTTCTTATAAATTTCTTTTAAAATACCAAGTAAAAAGAAAAGGCTATTTATATTCCATGAAACTAAAATAAATAAATAAAAAAGAAAGTTTTCACAAATTTATAAAGATTTATTCTTAACCTCAGGCTGTAATGGAAAGAACATGGAACTGGACCCAGAAGGCTTGGGTTATGGTCTTAGCTCTAATGGTATCTGATGGGACTGATTACAAGAATCCTCTAATCGTTCTGAGTCTGAGAAAATGGGGGTGAGAATATCTTTAATGTGCCTTCTATTCTTATACACTGTCATCTAATTTTTGAAATAGTATTTCAATACATAATATCTGACTTCTTAGACATTTTGGCAGATGTCGATATTGATAGTTTTATATAAAATTTGGAAAACATCAAATAATTAAACATCAAAATAATTTTATTATATTTTTCATTGCTTCTGTGACCTCTCCAGTTTACCCCTAAATTAGTGATGTATGTTGTGCACAGGTTTCTTTTTGCGTGGATACCACATTGCAAATTGTTTCTAGTTCATAGCCTTCTATCTTTCTCAGCACTTTTTAGAAAATACTGGAGTTTGCTGAGCACCTAGGAGCATTTTCCTGTGCCCTTCTTGGCAAGTTTATACAAAAGAAGCATGTGCTAACATTCTATCTTTCAACTTCTTAGGGCCTCTTTCCCATGTTGGTTTTTCTCGGTGATGTCTAGTCATCCAGGCTTGTCTGCTCTCACTTGCCCAGTCCTAGGTGGAGACTTCAGCACACATTATATATTGTTTCTCTTTGTGTTTAAAGACTACATCATTAGTTTATGTGTCAGAGTTGATTGTTGGCATGCAGGTAAATAACCCAGTAGCCAACCAACAGTGCTACCTATGATAATAACTCCTCCCTCATGGTAGGCTCATTGGATGGTTTTGTAGGTTAATGAAATGAGTCACATCTGATAACTCCCTTTAAAAAGGAAGTCCAAGTAAAAAATAACCTGGAAATTTTATTATCAGATGAGAATGCTAAAATCTATTATGAGAATTAAAATAAAAATTAGCAATGAAATGAAAAAGGGAGTGCTTGCTAGAAAATTCTGAATAGAAGTTTCACCCCTTCTGCCCTTTTCTCCCACCAGATCTCTTTCATTCCCAGAAGATTAAAGAAAGAACATTTCTCCTTCAAAGAGCTTATCCTTGGGATCTCTGGTGTTCCCTAATTAGTTTTGTGAATGAAGTAGTGATGGTCTACTGGACTGCTAGAAGCTCTGGTGGCATAGTGCCTAAGGCATTTGACTGCTAACCAGAGGCTGGCATTTCAGACTCATCAGCCACTCCGCAGAAGGAAGATTAGGCCATCTACTTCCATAGAGATACCCTCTCAGGAGCCCAAGGAGGGGTCGCTAATTAGTTTTGTGAATGAAGCAATGATGGTCTACTGGACTTAAGAAGACAGAATTACTCAAGACAAAAAGGCTTTTCAAAATGGTAGGAATTCACTCTCAATTCCTGTAACTATCTCTATATGACATTGGAATCAATTCAAGTCTATCATACTATTCTACTGTGGATTATTTGTGAGAGATCTATCTTAAACTTCAACATTGGAGGAGGAGGAGGGAGAGAACATACAAATGTCTATTATTTGCCAGACACTGGAAACAGTTGATATATAATACTTGAAGTAATACTTCAGGGAGAATACAGATACGTTCTACAGTTAAAAATAAAAGGAGACTTGAATTTGTCTTAAGTTCATGCTGCCAATAAGAGGAAGGACCAGGATTAAAATCTAGGTCAAACTTTATATCCTGCATTTGATTGAACAAACATTTTGCTTCTTTTATTTCTATTTTTCTACTACAAATTGTGACCTGCCATTAAAATATACTCTTCATAAATATTCTTAAAAATTAATGATTATAATTTGCTGTGTGATAATTGAGAATTACAGGAAGGTAGAGCCAATTTAATGTTAGGGGGAAAAAAAGACTTAAAGTATGGTTGGCAAGGAATGCCCCAAAACAGAAGCCATTCAATTTAGTATATAGTCATGAGGCATGCAAAAACATTTGTGGGAAGTTTTAGGAGCTCTCTGTCTGAAAGTTTCTTCCAGACCTCCTGCCATCCCACTGGTCACTGTCCTTTGTAGTTCATTTAAATTCGTTCTCTTCTGACCTTTCTAGAGGAGCTCTGGTAGCGTAGTGCCTAAGGCACTTGACTGTTAACCAGAAGGCTGGCAGTTCAAACCCACCACTTACTCTTCTGAAGGAAGATTGGGCAATCTACTTCCGTAGTGATGTTGTTGTTGTTGTTATGTGCCACAAGTCGGACCTAACTCAGTGACCCCTCCTTGGCTTTCCAAGGCAGTATCATTACCCAAGTAATGATTACTGCTCTCATTACCCGAGTAATGATTCTTAAGTTTTAGTCACAGAAATCACCCATTTATCCTCAAGGATTTTGGTACTCCATATCTTGAGTACCAAATTGTCTTGAGTACCAAGTTGCCCTGAATTGATCTTCCAATCTTTTGCTATCATTAAAAACATGTTCTGTTCTTGGCATTTGCTACACACTGTTGGTACAGGCAGATTTCATCTTAGCTGTTATAGGAATAGATGGGGTGGGACACTTACCTCTGTTATTCATTCCTATAAACTTTTTTTTTTAATATTTTATTGTGGTTCAGATGAAAGTTGACAAGGCAAATTAGTTTCCCATTCAGCAATTTATACACAGATTGCCATGTGACATTGCTTGCAGTCCCCACAATTTGTCAGCATTTTCCCCATTTCCACCTTGGGTTCCCTGTTTCCGTTTTCCTGTCCCTTCCTGCCTTCTTAACTTTGCTGGTGGGCAAATACTGCCTTGTTGGTCCGTATAGTTGATTGTTCTGAGGAGCATGTTCCTCCCAGGTGTTACTCACTTTATCCGTCTGTGTATATGGCTGGAGGTTGATCTCTGAGAGTAGCTTTAGTTCTATGTTAGAAGGGTATCTAAGAGCCATAGTCTCAGAGGTTCTATCATTCTTTATCAGACCAGTAAGTCTGGTCTTTTTTTATGAATTTGAATTTTGTTCTATCTTTTTCTCCCACTTTATCTGGTACTTTCTGTTATAATCCTGGTCAGAGCACTTGGTGATGGTAGCTGGATACTATCTAGTGGTCTCAAGTTAGTGGAGGTTGTGGTTTATATGGTCCATTAATCCTTTGGACTAATTGTTTCCTTGAGTTTTTGGTTTTCTTTACTCTTTTTTTTTGCTCTAGATGGAAAGAGACCAATAGCTATAACTTTGATGGTTGCTCACAAGCTTTTAAGATCCCAGTCACTACTCAGCAAAGTAGGATGTAGAATATTGTCTTTCTGGACTGTGTTATGCCAATTGACCTACATGTCCCCTGAGATGATGGAACCCTTCAACCCCAGTATCTCAGTCCTGGGACATTCCTACAAACTCTTATGCTAGGGTGCCAAAACCTCAAAATAGTCCCTAATCTCTAAAGCATCTATCCCAGTTGTTGTCAAGTCTGTTCTGATTCATGGTGACCCTATGTGTGTCAGAGTAGAACTGTGGTCCATAAGGTTTTCAATGGTTGATGTTTTTGGAAGTAGGTTGCCAGACTGTCTTGGTTCTCTGTTGTTGTTGTTGTAGTTATGTGCCATTGAGTCAGACCTGACTCAAAGTAACCCCTCCTTGGGTTTCCAAGGCGGTATCACTATGGAAGTACATTGCCTAACCTTCCTTCTGAGGAGTGACTGGTGGGTTTGAACCTCCAGCCTTCTGGTTAGCAGTCAAATGCCTTAGGCACTACGCTACCAGAGCTCCCCTCTTGGTTCTCTAGTGCTGCTATAACATACATACCACAAGTGGATGACTTTAACAAAGAGGAATTTATTCTCTTACCATTTGGGAAGCTAGAAATCCAAATTCAGAGTGCCAGCTCTAGAGGTAAAACCCCCTTGACCTTGGGCTTCAGCTCAGCCTCTTGTTCCAGGCCCACTGGAGCTGGAGGATTCATCTAACTCAGGTAGCTGCAGGCTGCTAAGGCTGAAGAACCCAGGATCAACATGTAAAATGGCACAGTCCCAAGATCGGCAGGCAACATGGCAGGCCAAGACTTGGCCAAATGCAGGGTCCCAGTATGCCAAAAAGTTAAGGACCTTTCCCAAAGTTTCTCCATATATACTGGAAGCAGGCCACACCTCAAAAGCAACTCCCCTGGCACTGTTTAATGTCTCACAGCAGATTCCACCATGGAGGTGATTACAGTCTCATCATGGTGAATAACTATATCCAGCTGCCTAGCCACTCAAAACCATGGCCCAGCCAGGTTGACACACAACTTTAACTACCACACAGACCTTCCAAGTGCCTCTGGGCTTAGTTGAACCTCTACATTTTGGAGAGCAGCCCAGTGTATTAACCATTTGCACAACTGAGGGACTCCAAAGCCTTTCCAAACAAACAAACAAAAAAAACT